CAAAAAAAAAAAAAAACCAAAAAAAAAAAAATTTATGTAGCCATTATAAAATGTTGTGATGACAAAAATTTTTACCTTATGATGCCAAACAATATTGTTTTAAGAAAAGAAAAAAAAACAACTTTTATTAGTGTTTTAGGTGTTTATACGGTTTCCCTTTTTTTCTATCTTTTTCTTTTTGATACTGGCTAAATGTCTAAACATGATTTCACACACACTGGGCTTTCTCATTCACTCTGTGAAACAAGTCTTCCCTTCTGGGTGTGGGTACTTGCCAGTCTCCAAAACATATGACTGTCTCTCTTTCTCTTCCTCATTTCCTCATGCCAGCAGATACTAAGATTTACAGTTTGAGGGTCCTAATGATTTTCTCTTACACTAATAAAACTGTACCACAGTTTTCCTTCATGTCTGTCTTTAAATTATTTTATTAATGAAACTAAGAACTCAAAGAAGAAAAGCAAGATTCTCTCTATTTTAATAGGTTTAAATAGCTCTGGGGAGGTCTGTTTTCTCTCTGGGTGCCCCTGGAGACCTTTTCTGAGTCTGCTTTATTGAATGGCTTTGTAAGAGTTCAAAGAGACTTTGATACAGGAGCTGGATAAATGAAAATGGTGGAGCTAGTTTAGTCTTGGTAAGTTATAGAAGATGCTTCCTTAAAACAGCATTTGGTGAGAATCCAGTATTAAAGATGGAAAATTAGACTTTCTCAGTGGACAAAGCTCAACATGGTAACAGCACTGTGGAGGAGATGGCTGATAGAGCTCCCCATAGTTGAGGTTAGCATCACAGAAAGTACTTAAAGGAAGAACAGTAAGTGTTATAAGAAAGTCCTCAGTTAAAGTCTCAATTTTCCCATCTCACCTAACCTAATAAAGATAGTTTCCCACAGGCAAGCCTACATGAACACTTAGCAAGGCCTAAATGAGTCCCACAATATCTCCCAATCTGCTTATGAAAGTAAAGAAAGATAGCAATAGCCCAGGCCTCTATTTTCCTCCAGTTTTACCAAGTGAAGATTAGATTCATGGGGATTCAGTTAGATGGACAGGAGACTCATCCTTGGAGTTCCCACTCCTGCTGCATCACTTACTGTTTAGAGTCACAAGTAGAAGCAAAATGAGTCCAGTGAAAAATAACATCATTACAACCAAGATTATGCATACATCCCACAGCCAATTACTGTACAGTGGGTATGCATTGTCCAAAATAGAAGCTGGAAAAAAACAGAAAGAAATGTTAAGCATATTTTAAAATAATTAAAATAGAGACAGACAAATAAGCATAAATTAGGAAGCCAAATCACAGAACCCCAGTCAACAAGAAAAAGGAGGGGGTTTTGAGCAGCCTTCATTTGAAGGGGAAAGGTTAGGCCACCAATCCAAAGTTTCATGACATAACTTGACAGTTTGAGGAAGTCAAAGAGTTTGTGCACTTCAGCTTAAACCATGCATATAATTGTAAGATGTTGTTATTTTTACTCATTTATCCACAGGTAGCTGAGAGCATCCTCTTGTTTAATCTTATTCTCTGGTTTAGGAGTTGCCAAAGCAAGATGTTGCAGGAAAAGCACAGAGGAAATGCATTGGTCCATTGAGCAGTTGAATAAGCCAACTTGGTCTGCCATTGCAGCACTGTAGAACAGAAGAATCTAATATGCAACATACTAAGAATGTGATTGTAACATTTGAGAGCTCAAAGTCAATCCATGAAGCAATAAGTGGATAGGTATATTGAAATGTGATACATGAAATTAAGAATACAAAGGATAAGTTATTATAATTGTAGTTACTACATTTGAGTTTGAGTTCGAAATTGTTAACAAACCAAGGTGGAAAATATAGTAAGAAATAGAATCAAGCAGAAGGCTGAGGTCAGTAGTCATTTAAAGATATAAAAGAAGAGTTAAACAAAGGAGAGAAGGAAACAGTCGATGCAATGGTTAGAATCTTTCAGGCCTTAAGGAACATTCTAATAGAGGAAACTGTGGTGCCCAACAGATACTTATTATGAAATACAAAAGTACTCTCACAGAGAGATGCATGTGCGCCTGTGAATGCACACACACACTCACCAAGTAGTTTGTGCTGTCTTTGTAATACTGGATGTGTGTCCTTCACTGGAGGGCAGTCAGCACACCAGCAGCCACACCCTCAAAGAAAACTGACTCTCCCTTTCCCAGCAGTTATCATTTGCCAGTACCTCTATAGCTAGGGGTGTGACTTCAGGCCCTACCTGTCTCTCCATGCTGGAGTTGTCTGACCCAAGTCTGCACAGGTCTTGTGCATGTCATCTCAATTGCTATGAGTTCATATGTGTAATTGCCCTGCTGCATATGGAAAACACTATTTCCACCACCCTTTTTCTTGTCTTCTGCAATGATCCATGAGCCTTCAGAGGAAGGCGGGATGTAAATAACCTCATTAGGAATGACCATCCAGATGTCTTTTATGCTCTGCACCTTGATCTCTGTGTCGATTGTCATCTACTAAAAATAGGAGCTTCTCTGATGAGGGCTAACTGATATATAATCTGGGGTCCATGTCTTATGTGGTAGCTATGTACACACTGCATCTTACCTAATATCTGAAGTCCAGTTCTTTTTCCATTATGTTTGATCTCCTATTTAATGTTTTGATTGAGTTGTTGTTTTCAGTTTCAGTTGCTGTAATTGAATCTATATAGACGTTCTACTTTTGAAATATTATCATATTTTCATTAAAGTTTTTCATTGTTAATATTTTAATGAATACTTTTCATTTTTAAATACAAAAATACTGTTCATTTTTATACAAAAGATATATTTCATATGCTTAATATATAGGAAGTCCAGACCATCACAGCTAATGTTGAAAATCTAAACCTCTTTGACAACTACCCCTCAATATGCCATGGGAGAGCCCATCAATTGTCTTTGTCTTCAAATTTTACAAGGAATTCACACAAGTTAATAGCTGCAATCTTGCTAAGGAAAAAATAATTTCTAAATTCTATTGCTTCTTGCAAAAAAATTACCTATTTATTATTTTATGTGTATGAATGTTAGAGGCCAGAAGAGACCTTCAGAACACATAAAATTGTAATAGTGAGTTGTGGGCTGCCACATATATGCTAGAGCAGAATCCAGATCCTCTTCAAGAGCAACAAGTGCTGTTAACCAGTGAGCCATCTCTCCAGCCCCTAAATTCTATTCTCCTTAGTATTCCATGAGATGTACTGTTTTTCTTGGTAAATTTTTTTACAGACTATTTCAGTGTTCATTACTTTGGGCTCCTTAGATAAATGTAGATATTTCTATTATACTCCTCCTTATAAGGGTTCTGAGAATTAGAATTAGTCCATTTAATCATGATATGGTTTTAATACCAGGGTATAAGGATTCCAACAAAAACATAAAAATGAATGGAAGAGGGGAGACAGGTAGAAAATATTCATATATATTTATATTTTCTATTGTATAAAATATTGTTCTTCCTTTCTTGGTGGCCAAAATAACTTTAAAATTACATAGTTGTATAAGTGTTAGATGGATAGGAAGATGTATTGTAATCAGAAAGGCTGGTTTAGTACATCTAGTGTATTCCATTGTGATAGATTAATTAATCTTATCAATAAAAACCAGGAGTCAGATATTTGGGGTAAAAACCAAAAAGATCAGAGAATCAAGGGAGCAGCCATCAGTGATTTCCTATCTCTTCTGTTCCTCTGAGCAAAAGGGCCGAGATCCAGTCTCAGCCCTGCCTTACCACTTCCTGTACCTATCTCTACAGTCCTCTAAATCTCTATAGTTAACTAGTGGCTAACTCCACCCTCTGACTCCAAGCAAGCTTTATTTGTCAGAACACAAACAAAATATCACACAACACCATAGTGCTGGAAGTTATACCTTCCATATCTTTTTTTTTTTTTTGGTTTTTCGAGACAAGGTTTCTCTGTGTATCTTTGCGCCTTTCCTGGAACTCGCTTGGGAGACCAGGCTGGCCTCGAACTCACAGAGATCCGCCTGCCTCTGCCTCCCGAGTGCTGGGATTAAAGGCATGTGCCACCACCGCCCAGCAATATCTTTATACACTTTTACTATTTTTCCATTGCCTCTTTAAGAAATTTTCTTTTAGTTCATTTTTTTTAGGATTTGAGGCTTGTTTTTATGATTTGTAGTGAAATAGATGGAATGAGTTTTATTGACAGCCATTCTGAAATATATGTTAAATCAGAAGAGGGTATATCTGTATCTAACATCTGGTATAATTTTGTCTTATGGATGAGTACAAACACCTTACAAATAGTAATTTGATCTTTTGGTTTATTTTGATAGTTATTTTTTTATAAAAATACTTCCTCCTAATATCCACAATGAAATGAAAAGTTTTTCTAAATTCTCAGATACTATCCTATAAACAGTATACATTGTAGTATGACCATACTTCTAAGTACCCTGTAAATATACCCCAAGAGGATCAAACATCAGCTTTCAATTTTCTCAGGAAATGAAAATAAAATAAAATAAGAAAAAATGTATTTTTTTCATTAATTAGCATAGGGGACCTCTAACCTGAAAGTTTTTTTTTAATATTTATGAATTCTTGGCTTAGGATAAATGTTGGTGAAATAAAAATTGTACTTTGTAGAAGAAGGCCTATACATGTGGGATTAAATGGAGGCCAGACCTGGAGAAATAAATAAAGCTGTAACTGTGAGTATGAAAGTACAAACAGCCATGATAGAAGCCTAAAACTTTAGAAAATATATAGTTCCAAGGAAGCACAGGAAGCCACTGGGATGACACTGAAACTATGCCTGCTACTTCTGCAACAAAGACTACTCAGCTTTGTCTACATAGTGCCAAGATGAGAAGGCACTGGGCAAAGGCAAGGTGAAATGACAGATCCCAGTCTAGTTGCACTCACCTCTGCTCCTGAAATTCAAATAGAGAGGGAGGAATCCAATACACAAAAATAATGGTAGACACTCCCACATAAGCTCATAGCAAAGCCTCATTTTATTCGAACCTGGAAAAGAATAAGTAAGAAGATTTAGGAGGACCCCTCCTCCCCCACCGGAAAGGTTCCCCCTCTCCAAGACAACCCACCCCACCCCACCCCACCCCACCCCCCCAGACCCTGCAATCTCCACGCCCTGCCCCCACACCCATCTGCCCAAGACCTCAGCCACTGCCTGAGACTCAGAGACCAGCCCCAGCTCCCTTCTAGCCCAGAGCTTCCATCTGGACCAGAGAGAAGTTTCCTGAATCTGTCAGCTCTGTCTGGACCAAGAGTGCTGATAAGAGCAAAAATGAATCCACGAGGAGATGGGCAGACGTCAAGACAAAAGTACATATGAAAAAAAAAGAGCAACACAGCATCACCAGAACCTAGCCCTCTTCTAACAACTAGACCTGAACATCACAAAATGGAAGAAGCAGAAGAAAGCAGCCTTATGAATAACATCATGAAGATGCTAGAGGCTTATAAAGAAGAAATCAAAAATGAAATGGAGGAACAGACAAACAAAAAATGGGAAGAATGCTATAAAAAACTAGAGGAAAGGACAAATAAAGCAGAAGAAAACAATAAATCCCTGAAAGGAAATCATGAAAAAGCAAAGAAACAGATGAGGGAAATAGTCCAAGACCTGAAAATAGAAAAAATGAAGAAGACACAAACAGAGGGAATACTAGAAATAGAAAATCTGAGTAAATGAACAGGAACTTCAGATGCAAGTATAACCAACAGAATGCAAGAGATGGAAGAGAGGATCTCTGGCGTTGAAGATACGGTAGAAGAAAAAGAAACATCAGTCAAAGAAAACACTAAAGCCAACAAAGTCATGACCCAAAATGTCCAAGAAATTTAGGACACCATGAAAAGACCAAACCTACGAATACTAGGGATAGAGGAAGGAAAAGAATACCAATTCAAAGGCACAGAAAATATATTCAACAAGATCATAGAAGAAAACTTTCCCAACTTAAAGAAGGAAATGCCTATGAAGATACAAGAAGCCTATAGAACACCAAACAGACTAACCCCCCAAAAAAGTCCCCTTGCCACATAATAATTAAACAACTAAACATACAGAATAAGAAAGAATATTAAGAGTAGCCAAGGAAAAAGGCCAAGTGACTTATAAAGGCAAACCAATCAGAATAACACTCGATTTCTCAATGGAGACACTGAACCAGAAGGACTTGGACAGATGTAATGCAGACACTAAGAGACCATGGATGCCAGCCTAGACTAATATACCCAGCAAAACTTTCAATCATCATAGACGAACAAGATATTCCAAGACAAAGCCAGATTTAAACAATACTTATCCACAAACCCAGACCTACAGAAAGCACGAGAAGGAAAATTCCAACTTAAGGAAGTCAGCTACACCCTTGAAAACACAGGCAATAGATAAAACCACAGCAGTAAACCCCAAAGAAGAGAAGTACACACACACACTACCACCAAAAAAAATAACAGGAATGAACAATCACTGGTCATTAATATCCTTTAATATCAATGGACTTAATTCACCTATAAAAAGACACAGGCTAACAGAATGGATATGAAAGCAGGACCCATCTTTCTGCTGCATACAAGCAACACACCTCAAATTCAAAGATAGACATTACCTAAGAATAAAAGGCTGGGAAAAGACTTTCCAATCAAATGGTGTTAAGTGAGACAGTTGATTAGCTTGATCTGTTTGGGAGGCATCCAGGCAGTGAGACTAGGACCTGTCCTCAGTGCATGTGCTGGCTGTTTGGAATCTGGGGCTTATGTAGGAAGACTTGGCTCATCCTGGTAGGAGGGGACTGGGCCTGCCTGGACTGAATCTACCAAGTTGAACTCAATCCTCTGGGGAGTCCAAAGGAGGAGATGGGAATGGGGGTGTTGGACTGGGGAGAAGGCAAGGGGGTTGGGAAGGGAAAAAACAAGGGAATCTGTGGCTGATATGTAAAATTAAATTAAATTAAATTATAAAATAAAATTTAAAAAAAGAAGCAAGCAGGTGTAGCCATCCTAATATCCAGCAAAATAAACTTCAAACTAAAACCAATCAAAAAAGATAAAGAAGGGCATTACATACTCATCACAGGAAAGATCCACCAAGATGAAGTTTCAATTCTGAACATTTATGCCATAAACACAAGGGAACCCACATATATAAAAGAAACATTACTAAAGCTTAAATCACATATAAAACCCCACACATTAATAGTGAGAGACCTCAACACCCCACTTTCACCACTGGACAGATCTCCCAAATTGAAACTTAACAGAGAAATAAGGGACTTAACTGATGTTATAACACAAATGGACTTAATTGATATCTACAGAACACTCCATCCTAACGAAAAAGAATAGACCTTCTTCTCAGCACCCCATGGAACCTTCTCTAATATCGACCACATACTTGGCCACAAAAGCAAATCTCAACAGATACAAAAAAAATGGAATAACCTCCTGTGTTCTATCAGACCACCATGGTTTAAAGTTAGATTTCAACAACAACAAAAATTACAGAAAACCTACATTCTCATGGAAACTGAATAATGTTCAACTGAATCAACAATGAGTTAAGGAAGAAGTAAAGAAAGAAATTAAAGACTTCCTAGAGATCAATGAAACTAAATACACCACATACCCAAAATTATGGGACGCTATGAAAGCAGTGCTAAGAGGGAAATTCATAGCACTAAATGCCCACATAAAGAAG